CTGATCTCAGGCTCCGGTTTGAATTCAGCCCTCTTGTGATACTATTGTAGATCACTGCTACTCCTAACTCGGGACTTCCCAAATGGGTTTTCAGTTATGCCGGTTCCTCGGATTTATTGCACTATTGCTCCCATTACTAGATGGTGTGACTGAAGTTACAGATTAGATCCAACCAATAAGCATAGCCGTTAACCGAACACAAGCCTATTTTTTGAAAATCATTGTCCGTGAAATTCGAACTCTAGACCTGCTACTTGGAGAGGGTGATGACTAAACCACTACACTAAGTCGCCACACCTCATTAATTAACTATTTATCACTTCTGTTATATAATATCTTTTAAAAATTTTTAAAATATAACACAAATATAAGCTTCAAGAATATTTGATATTAATATGCAATATTTAAATTAAGTTGGATCAGACTTATAATAAATATTGTATAACAAAGATCAAAGAGAACATAAAGTTAACAGGTAAAGTATTTTTGCAAGTATTTGCAGAATTCTGTATACATTATACCAAAATTTGAAAATTTTATCTTTGATTGTGAATTATTTAATTAACTTTATATATATTTATTGTTATTATTCTAATCTAATGATATACTTTTTAAATTTTCTGTTATCTATAAAATACTCACAGGTCCAAAGTTTAAATATCAGATACCCATTGCTAACTATTTGCGCCAAAAATCTGATCTAAATTGGCAATATGTCAAAACATATTAGAAGCATATCAGGTAAAAAATAAATATCAGGATACCCGATATTTATCTGATATTTATTTTTTACCTGATATGCTTCTGATATTTTTTTGACATATTGCCAATATAGATCAGATTTTTAGTGCAGATAGTTAGCAATCATTAGCTATCGGGTATCTGATATTTATAGATATTTATACTTTTGACCTGTGACTGTCGATACTACTAATGGTTATTAAATTGTATATTTATAAATATATATAACGATAAATTTAAAATGGTTATTAATTGTACAAAAATTTCAAAGTTAAATGTATGGAAAAATAGGTTAGATACATTGTTATTATAGATCAGAGTGCTAATAATTTTTTAGAGGGTTTAATATTAATAAATTCTGTCCCTAAAATGACTAAATTTGACAAATTTGCCATAATACGTATCACATATATTTTATTATATTAAATTATATAATCTATATAAAAATTGACCAAGCCTATTTTTTAAAAAACCAACCAACTTAGTTGGCTAAGTCAAAAAAATCAGCTAACCCGAAATCAACTACAAGTACTTATAGCAATTCTCTAAATTTATTAAATATTTGTTTTTAATTAGTTTATAGATCAATTTGTAATATTAGTTAATAAAAAATTGTTTTACAAAATTCGGAGCAAATTGGAATATCAATAATTATATTTGGTTTTTAAAAATATATACTTATAAAAAAATATGCTTATTAGAGATAACTATAGAGATATTTGACTATATTGTTATTATTTGACAAAAATAATAACAAGTTAAAAAAAAAGTAGTATAATTTCTTTATCAATTTTGATGTATTAAATATAATATACCACTTTGTTACTCTAAGACAAGACATAATTGTTTAAAGATTTTCATAAAAAATAAATAAATTTATTAAATATTTGTTTTTAATTAGTTTATGGATTGATTTGTGATATTAGTTAACAAAAATTTTTTTACAAAATTCAAAGCAAATTGGAATACCAATAATTATATATTTGGTTTCTAAAAATATATACTTATAAAAAATATGCTTAACTATAGAGATATTTGACTATATTGTTATTATTTAACAAAAATAATAACAAGTTAATAAAAAAAAGGTAGTACAATTTCTTTATCAATTTTGATATATTAAATATAATCAGTGTTGGGCTCGCTTATAAGTCCAGTAAAATTGAACTGGAACTGGATTTATAAATAGTCCACTGGACTTATAAATCTAGTAGTCTAGTTTATAAATCCAGTAGAGCAGACTTTTAGTCCAGAGCCCAACACTAAATATAATATACCACTTTGTTACTCTAAAGCAAGACATAATTGTTTAAAGATTTTTATAAAAAATAAATAAATTTATTAAATATTTGTTTTTAATTAGTTTATAGATCAATTTGTAATATTAGTTAACAAAAATTGTCTTACAAAATTTGGAGCGAATTGGAATATCAACGATTATATATTTGGTTTCTAAAAATATATACTTATAAAAAATATACTTATTAGAGATAACTATAGAGATATTTGACTATATTGTTATTATTTGACAAAAATAATAACAAGTAAATAAAAAAAAGGTAGTATAATTTCTTTATCAATTTTGATGTATTAAATATATACCACTTTGTTACTCTAAGGCAAGATATAATTGTTTAAAGATTTTCATAAAAAATAAATAAATTTATTAAATTTTTTAATTAGTTTATAAATTGATTTGTAATATTAGTTAACAAAAATTGTTTTACAAAATTTAGAGCAAATTGGAATATCAATGATTATATATTCAAGAATTTGAAAGTTATAATTGGCTAAATCAGTATGGCTGAGACATTTAATACTACAATATTTGTACTATTTAAAAACTTTTTTTTTATAATTAATACAATAATAATAAAGTTTCTATATGCTATTTTATATTAATGATATTGTTTATCACATTAAGACTCTCTGACATCAATATTGATTAGTAAGATCAAATGATTCGATGTCAAATTGTCAAATTTACAAAATTACATAAATGAAAGTAAATTTTGTAATATTGTTCAATAAAAAGTGTAAATTTATACAACTATTAAGAAAATATTATAATAGCCTAGCATATATAATTTGATACAAGTATAACTTGCAATATTAGGCTTCTATGATGCATGTTCAATAAAATCATTATCTCAATTTTTTCACTTTATATATAATACAACAATCATTTAAGGTGTTAAACAAATCGATTAATAATATTATATAATCTTATATAAATTACACAAATTAGTAATTGGACCCAAATAGGTATCACTTGAATTACTTGTAGGTGAGTTGAGTATTGGGTTGCAGTTATGTCAAACCAGGTAAAAAGTAACAAACGGGTCTACCTGTAAGACCCTAGTAATTAATTTTTTTTGCATTATGTTTTGATGTGTTCTTTTTTAGCTCTTTCGTTATTCTTTTGGAGTTTTTTTGTAATTCTTCATCATTCTTTTAGTGGTTTTTTGGTTATTCTTTTGATGGTTTGTTCTTTTTAATACTTTTTGTGATCTTTTTTTTTAGGTTAACATTTTTTTTTGTTGTTTTTTCAAATTTTTTTTATTTTTCATTACTTCTTTGTAGCTCTTTCATCGTTCTTTTAGTGATCTCTTTGTTATTTTGGTGATGTTTTTTTTACATTCTTTTAGTTCTTTTAGGTCAATATTAGATTAATATTAAAATCAACATTGCTTAACTTTTTAGATAGCACATCCACAAAAATTATTTCTCTCTGCAATTTTTACTGATAATTTAATATTGTAGTTTGGGGCTGAGTTAAAGTTAGAAAGAGTATTTTTAATTAGATCACAAAGAATGGTTTCTTAATTTAAATTTTGTTATTTTTGCTATAATTTTAATTTTAATAAATATGAAGAATTTTTTTATTAAAAAAAATTGGATTTAAATAAATATCTTATAATTTCATTTTAACTCAACTGATTATTCAAACTTTTTCATTACCTTATTATTATTTCATACCAGGGCTAATGATTTTTTGTTTTGGTTAAGACCAAATTCTGTTTTCGGTTAAAAAAAATTTTGCTGTTTTTTTTTAAGAAATAATGTAATTGTCACTGCCGGTGATACAGTGACAGTTGCAATTTGCCAATCACATCAAATAACAAAATCAAAACAAATGCCAAAATTAATTATTATTAGGGTTAGGGTTAGAACAAAGTTAGAGTTGGGTTAAACATAATATATAGTAAATTTTTGCAAGAAATTTTTTTAATTAGAACATTAAAGGTGGTTTTATAGGTGAAATTTTGAGATATCACAGATTTTTGAAAAATTTCATTGTTTTCTTCGTTTTCGTATTACACAAACGTAACACCTGATCCCATGACGTGATTGGCCAATGTGACTGTAGTGTGACTGTCACCGCGTCACCGTCGGCGACAAATAGATTCACCCTTTTTGTTGAATAAGTTAAAATATAAATGTGCAAAATTCCGTAACTTCCCAACAAACATGTTTGTAATTTACATTTTCGGGATTTCCCGGTGCCCAATCTGAATTTATGGTCAAAATCCTGCGATATTATAGAACATTCTGTGATGATAAAGGTGATTTCTGTGGTTAGCTGTTTTTAAGGGCTATTTTCTGTGATCGCAGTAAATCATCGGCCCTGCTTCATACTTAACATTAGACCGAACATATTCGGAGATATCACATGTTGGTCTCATGATAATTCGAGACAAAAGCTGCTTCGATATTTACGTATCGAGCAGCTTTTTGTTTTGTCTCATTTTTGGTGATTTACTACGGAAATACATTTGGGTGTTCCCTTCTGCTAATCGAGCATCAACATATCAATTTTTTTAAATAGTATCCATAGATTATAATTGAGTTTTAAATTAAAATTCTTTCATATAATGATATTCATGAGATGATAATTTTGTTACAGTATATGCAGAAAGAGAAAAATATCTGATATGAAAAATTAGGTAATGTAACTAGGCGCTTGAGTTGTTTAAAAAGAGTTAGAAATGTATTATATTATACTGGCATGTTATGAATCAGTTCTAGTATAGTTCTTGTGCAATTCATCAAATATTTTATTAATTTCATATTATTAGAATTTTGTTATTTTATCATTTATCCACCCGGGTGACCCGCGGGTTTACCCGCCAGGTTACCCGGGTCAGACGGGTCCAACCACTATCCTCGGGATAGTAATTTGGGCTTTGTTATCTTAAATGAAGATTCCCAAACCCAACCTATGTAATAATATCAATTCAAAAAAAATGTTGTATTATTTACCTCCTCTCATTCATTAATTTATCCAATCTGTCGTAGTGCACAGATGTAAGCTTAACGTAATCCATGTGTGGCATAAATGCGGCAGACAGATCAAAAAGTGCATCTTTTATCACTGTCATTTTGTAAACAAAAAATCGTTAGTAAAATCAAAAGAGATTTATAATAAATAGAAACATAAATTGCTAACCATTAATAACAATAAACGGGTCAGCTAAAACTTTATAAGGTGTGTCTGTAAACGGATCACCTATGTCCCAATCGTCTAACGGCGGTTCCTTGGCATACCGTTCAAGCGACATTAAGCAATCTAACATTGATTCAAATACTCTAGAGATATCATTTTGGACTATTCCATGTGTATCCTCGTGCAATGACCTGACCATAAGCATTGTTAGAGCTGGCGTTTGTAAATATCAGTTTAAAATATCAGTTAAAGTCTCATAATTTACTAAATATGCACCAATAATATTATAATTGTTACCCTGAATGGCATACACTGTTATGTGCAAGTCTTTAAATACATTCTTTGTTCGTCGTTCGATAGATCGCTTAAATAAAGGAGCTACAATAAGACAATATAACTTTCTCACATATGGTCGTTGATTGCCTCCTACAGGGTGAAACCATTCAAGTAATTTCATCTCCCAATATTCACGATCTTTGGTTAATGTATCTGCGGTGACACCAACGTCGAGATTTCTCTGCCCAACTTTCACCGATTGTTTCTGCTTTTTAGCAGACTCTGTAAGCTTTTTAAATAGATCATGCTTATTTTTCATTTCTGACTTCCTACGTTGTTGCGTTTTAAGCTCATTCTGTGCAGAATTTGCAAGTCCTAATATAAAATCCATGCATGTGCGCGAAATCTCCGTCCAGGCAGATGTTGGATGATTATGCAAAGCACAATTAAAAGGTTGTTTGCGATTGAAATCCGCATATATTGCAACACGCCGGTCATGATCAAATTTTGAAATATGCCATAGTTCTAGAAACGCAACTTGCTATATAAAAATCAAAACAAATTGATTTAATGTTTATGAATAGTATTAAAACACACCAAATGTGTTCAAAAATGCATATATTCTATAATGAAATTACTAGTAAAATTTAAATTAGATTTAAAGGTTAGAGTTATATGTTAAAATTACTGGCACGAAGAGGTTTTCGTGTGTGCTAAACATTTTTACTTAAATCACCGAACATTAATCATTTGGCTAGTTTTTTGAGATATAGCAACTGTGATATTGAACACCCCTGATGTGTTTTATAACCATAATATTTATAATAAAAAATTTGAAATTTTATATTTTATACCTGATAATACGGTTGTTGATTCGCATGTAATCCATCTATAAGTATTGCATGAGGATCCATAAATACACCAATTGTAGAAAATACCTATTAAATAAAATCCACCAAACGTTGACCGTTATTGCAGAGGTTAAATATAGTATATTACAAATGCATAAATACAGACCCGTGTGAAAAAATGATCAAATAATAAATGAATTGTTGACCAGAACGTAACAGTAAATATTCCACAAAATACTGTTCTATTGAACAATTGTACATCAAACCAAGACGCACGCATCCAATAATAAATTGAAGTATAACTAAATCAATGGAGAATGTTGTCAGTTTAATCGAAAGTTCTTGTCAAAATATTTATAACTTACTTTAATGGGATGAGATTTGGTAGCCATTCGTAAAATATATTCCATAAAAACAATTTTGCAATCCAAAAATACACTCCAAATTGCACTGCAGTCACGATCACGTTCCAGATTAGTAAATGTTTTTTTCGGTTCCATAAAACTAGGAATTCTCTATGTAAGGCAAGCATGTTTTTTGGCTATTTAAAAATAATAATATATATATATATCAATATTCTTTCTCTTTCTAATTCATAAATAAAACAGATAGAATCAATAAATCTATTCATTCTTACGGGCATCCCCATGTCAAATTACCTCAACAATATGAAATATTAGTTCGTATCTTTTGTATATCAGAAAGTCAAATCCGCACACAATACCTAATATAATGTTATATATTAACTCGATCAAGTAATGTTCGTTTATTGTTGGGAGGAGGCTTTTGCAATTATCTTTACGGTGAATTGGACACCAAAAGCTGAATAATGAAATGATGAAAAATATTTTTAATTTAATATCTTAAAAATCAGCACTTAAGTATTTATCAAGAAATTACTCTTTATCTCCAGGATATAAAAGCAATGTTCTTTTTCTTTCACGATCATTGCTAATAATATCAAAAAAAGTAGACCCTATTGATACTGCAGAAATAATATAAACCAAAGGAATGATATAAGCACGTTTCTTGCCAAATAAAATTTTTAAGTCTTCGGCTAAGCTTGGTGCTGTATTTATACGAACTATATAAATCATATTTGATAATATTAAAATAAGGATGATAGTTAAAAGTGGAAGTGAAATTACAATTTTATAAATAGATGACCTGATTCTTGTATAAGTATCTTTCGAGTAGCAATTATTGGTAGAAGACCCACAACATATATTTTAACAAAAGCGTAGGTTGTATCAATGAAAAATCGAACGGTGGAAGTATCTTGGGAACAACTATCGACTAGATATAAGTTTGCCGAGACGAACGCGTGAGTAATTGTCAATAAAAGAAAAGAAAGACTTTTGTTTTAATGCATACCTCGAATTCGAAATAAAGAACATCCTATCTGAAAAATAGCAACTATCGCGTAAACGCAACTCGCCGTCACGAGCAGGTATATCTTTTGTATCTTGCTTAATTCGGTTGAACCACAAGCGAAGCCATAAATAGAGCCCGGTATTGCACTCATAATAATAATTTGCACGATTACTTGGTATTTCTCACCAAAGCTAAATTGATTTCGCAACCGAGGGCGAAAAAAAAACCCATGGACATTGACGCTTTGCGTGAATTTGTGACCGTCTTTGTGTCACCGTCCAAAAAAATTTTCGTTGACCAATAAAATTTCAGGATCAGGTGCAATAAAAACAATCTACGAAATAAATCCAGATAACTCTTAAATAATTTTTACCAAGTTCTGTGGTGTCATTCGGTGATTTTTAAATCAAAATTTAATTTCATTTAAAATATATCCCGGGGTGATTTCTGTGGTTGGTTGAAATTCTATGAATAATTGCATCACAGATCAGTTGTAAGGTTTATTAACCAATTAAATCACAAATTCAGATAACGATAAAAATGCTCTACGCTCGATAAAAAAAAAAAATAAAAAAATACATATATTTAAAACGCTATTTAAAACGAAATGACATCAGAATTTTTGAGCACGTCCGAAGCTATATTTCGCATACTGAGAGATTCAAAAGTTTCATATCCCGAAAAGATTATTGTTGCCACTCGTGTGTGGAATTCAACTGATATATGCTTTCTAAATAAAGTAGGATTCTTGTCAGAGTGGGTTTGTTCAACTTTGATTAAATCAACTGGATTTCCCGAAACACGGTAATTATATTAAATAATTTAACTGTTTAATCGTAAATGCTTTACTAACAAGTTACATAATAAAAATTTCTTTTAAGGCTTGGTGAAGCTCCACATTTGAATTTAAGTTATTGGAAGTTGTTTAAAGAAGCATTGGAAAAAACTAATGATTCTTCTATACCGTCATCTATATGTAAATTACCTTTGATTCCTATATTTTCCAGCGTAGTTGGTTATATATCATCATTGGATCCAATAAATAATTACGACACAGATGATCTGATTGAGCATTTGCTGGAAACAGTTGATGCCTGTTTTCACAAACTTACGACAGAAAAGTCTACAATTTTCAGGCCGCCAATAGATCAATTAGTTACATTAGCTTTAAATGCTTGCAATTTTATCATAATTATGAATACCTTTTATGACGATTATGTGATGAACATTGAGTATAGGCAATCTAGAATCGTTTTTCTGAGATTTAAGTTGTTTTCGAAAATTATTTCATTTTTGGAGTGCAACCTGATAAAAAGTTCGAATCCAAAGAGGGTAAATATAATTTTGTCGTTATTTGATTATTATGAAACATAAATAATTTATTTTCTACGAACAAGGCATACAACGTACTTATCGGAAAAATGTTTGGTAAACTCCTTCATGTCCGTTCCTTTGTATTTCACCTCAAATCATCAGAGAGGCAAGAAAGCAATTATTATGTTATATTTAGTAAAATTATTAAGACGATTGACAACATTTTCAGACATGGACTTTTTCAACAAGAACATATAATAGAGTATGTTGCAACCGAATCAAACCAAGATATATCTGATAAAAGAAATGATGGAAAAGGTTTAATTAATCATCATGATCAGTTATTTGATAAATGTCGTGAGATTATAAATTCTAACGATGATAAAAGGCAATCTCAACTAAGTGGTACGTCTATGTGATATTTGGTTCATAAATATGTCGAATGCATGGCTTTTTTTTTTTTTTAATAATATTGTTCCAAAATATTAGTTTTGGAAGTTATTCCTTACTGGTATGGATTCTTTATTGAAGAATTACGCAAACACTTAGAACATATTCGTGGTGCTGCACCAGGCGAATCAGTTAAAATAATCATAGATAAAAGGAGAACTTTAGAATTTAATTTTTTTTCGGAATTTTGGGTTTTGATTTCTGAAGCGTTGTCAAATTTGGAAGATCCAAACCATTTAAAGACAATGTTTTCGATCCACATAGATTTATTATCAAAAGTTTCTCAATATGATGTATATCAAATTAAGAGCGACGAGATATCTTTGCGGCAATTAGAATTCCTTCAAAAAGTTGCCGATTTTTTAATTTTTAAGGCATCTAACATTCAAGGTAAGTTACTTATAAAAGCAAGACAAAAATTATTATATTAACATTTTAAAGTTTGTTTTATAGAAAATTATATGAAAAACATTACTTTCCAAGGATTTGATTTATTGTTGAAACTAGAACACAGGGTTGTACAGTCACATGTTAAATCATTACTCAGTTTGATGCTTCAGGTACCTTAAGTATGGGATTGTTGTGGCTAATTAATTCTCCATCACTTACAAGTCATTATCTACATTCAGCAATTATATACTGAATCTTTAAATTCATGTTTGACTCTGGGCAAAACTTTGTTAGTCACATACTCTAAATCTCATGAAATGGATTTCTATATTAAAGGCTTTTTGTCAGCTCTTAATGACGTACCAGATGATGCTAATATAATCTTGAAAAATCCATTGTTTTCAAGAGAATATTTGGATGAGTATGAATAATGCCATTTTTTACTTTTAGAATTAATTCGTGCATTATTTGACATTATCAATTTATCTTGCCAAGATTCGCGAATAAAATTACCAATTATGTGACAATGACTCAAGCATGCGAACTTATCAGTCTATTTACTGCTGAATTGCCTAGTTTTCTTTGTCAAGAAATTGATGCAAGAACACAAAACAAAAAGAGGAAACTAGAAAGCAAAGCAGTTAATCCTTTTTTACCGAGAGTGAATCAAATCGAACCACGGATCATCTTTATCGTGCGATTTTTGCGAGCCTTAAAAATCACATCAGTTTCTAGGGATGAGATAGAAAAGTCGTTTCAATCATTATTCGATTTGTTCATTTTTCCTATACTATCTGCCAAACTTGATGACAGATATGAATGTGATAGTGTTAGTGATATTATGATATATGCTGCACTTAACTTGCATCATTGCCTAGTAGATATTTCGCCTTTATATTGGGAAAAAGCAGTGAATTCAGAATTTATTTCAATTCTGGATAACATTTCGTCAATTGATCCAAAAGTAAATCTTTTTTTGGTAAGATATTTCAATAGTTGAAATGATTATTCGATACTATAAAGTTTCCATTATTTAATGCTGAAGTAAAATGTTATAACTGAATTAGAATAAAATTCGACTTCAGTACGTATATCGTTCAATGACCACAGTAAAGCTTCAACCTACAACAAATAATGAACCCGAAAATAGTGTTGTCATAATACATAAGTACATAACTACCGTCCTTTCTACTCTTGATTATCCTAAAAATGCTGAAATATCGTGGACAGGATATTTGGTTGATATGACTAAAGAAAATTTTGCGATCTCGAATTCCATGCTTATTATTATAGAATGGTTGGATGTTGTGGTGTGAGTGTTAGCAAAGTCACACTGAGCATTATTATATTTTTGTCAACTTAATAATTTATATCTACACGTTTTTATAGTAATAATTGCCAAAAAAAAGAACTTGAATCAATAATAAGATTTATAGTCAGAGGACTTGTCACATATTCCATGGGCATAAGTAATGAGGAAATATCTATGGAAAGTATATGCATTCAAATTTTGCATTCTGCAGAATTTTTTGAGCTACAACCTTTGAGAGGTATTTATTTATTTTAGTGTTAGCTTACTGATGGTTTTACATAAATTTATAGCAAAAAATTTTTTCAGACGTTTTTTTAAAGGTTTATTTGGAGGAATTATTATCAGTCTTCAAAAACGCATGTGGCGTAAACATGATTGAATCTGACAATGATATCAAGGAAATAGGCATGATTATTGAAATTGCATCAAGATGGCATCAACAGGCCTCATCGGTATTATTGGATTCTATATTGCCTTGTTTCTCATCACCATTAAATAAACAATCACGGTCAAACAATTTAACAGATGAAGCCACTCAAAAAATACATCGTCTTGTGATGCTACTGCACTTATTTCCCTCAGAATATTTTGATAGATGGGAGGTTAATTGTCTATCAGCATTAATATTACTTATAGACAAGGTGATACTTATGTCACAAATTCAACAGAGTAATATACCCATAAATCATTTGAAAAATGCTATTCTTTGCAGAAGCCTGATACGTAAATTTTTTCTCGCGACAACCAAACAAGATGATCTACTGGTAGGACAGTAATATAATTTTATAGTGAACATATAATATTATGTTGTATTCGTCTCAAAAAACTATAAACTTTGTAGTGGAAAAATCAATCATTTATTATGTGGTGGGTGTCGTCTATATACACCTGTAAACATCATATAAAAACAATCGGCGAATCTCAACAAGAAGATATAGATGGTATAGAAATTGTGCCCAAGCAATTTATCAGTTTGGTACAGATAACCAATGAAACTATAATAGTTATATCAAGGTACGCTATACATTAACAGTGACTTATAAATGGCATGATACTGAAGAATTCTATTCTTTATAATATGATAGTCACATGTTTGCTAGGTATCGAGAAAATGAAAATTTTAAAATTGTTGATCACTTGAATGTTATCATCTCCGCATATTCTGTTTACTTGGATCATTCCTTTGATCAAGCCAATCTAGTTTTTGACTTAGTGATAAGTAGTATTTGGAAATTTGTTTCTGATTTTTTAAAACTTGGGATAGAGTTTTTTGAGTCACGCAGGTGAGTATTTCTGACAAGTTCAAAGGGCTCTATATATTTAATATACTAAATTTCGTATTCGCAGATTTATCCATGGAGCACATGACCGAGAGATACATGGGGTGTTTGAGATATTACTGCAAAAAGTTGAGAAAAGTTCATTAAAGCTCATTACTTTTTATACTGAAGAATATTTGCAACAACTTCAAAGAGACAATAATTTTAAAGGAATTCAAGTTATACTAAAACAAATTACTTACTTAGAAGAAGTATTAAAAGCATATTTGATGTCACTAAAGTATTATAATTTGGACTTTATTCAGCAACAAAATATGGATGCCAAAGGTTTGTGTAATATTATATTAATAAATACTTTTATGTCAAGTTAACTAATGATTCTATAAATTGTTTACACAATATATACAGTATTTATTGTGATTTCTTTGATGCAAAAGTTTTTTTCCATTATAATTGCGTTACTACGTGCAATATTAATTGACACTGTTTACCAAGACAAGTCACTTTATGAAGAAACTATGAAAAAATGCGTGACAATCACATTAATTGTGATGGATTTTATTCCAGTTATCGAATCTAAAATAAGTTTGCAAACTTTTCATAGATTTGTATCATTTATATGGGAAATAATGACAGTTTTGTGTGACAAAGGTAATATGAATATCAAATAAGAATCTAAGCAATAGTGATAATTGTACATCTTTATAATGTTTTGTGCTAAAATTATAATTAAGCAGTAACCATAGTATATAGCCATAAGTCATTCAGCTATTAATATATTCTTATTTAAATTTATAATCATAGATGTGCAAAGTCAACATTTGAGCGAATTGGATAGTAGTTTTGGCATCCTCATATCAAAATTACCAATTGAAAAATATGAAGAATTTTCAAGTAATATTATTAATAAATTAGAAGAATTTCCCTTCACTATGCAAAAAGGTAGCACAGATAAAGATTTGAAGTTTCTTGTACATTTAGTTGACATATTTCTTCGCAGTTCCACACATGGTAAGTTTATTATTTTCGAACAGATGTTACATACCGGTAATTTATTTAATTTTAACGAATATAATTTAATTGTAAATAGAGCAACTGTGTTGCTTACAAAAAAAGCTTCCCAATATATTAGTTAAATTATGCAATTTGGGAGTGATTATTGATCAATTACAAACCGCTTTATACATTTTAAACATTTTGTCGTTTTTAGTTTCTCGTAAGGTAATTTATAATCTGATTTAATATGATTTTGTAACATAATGGACGATTAATTATTTACTATAAATGTAGACGTTTTCGTTTCGGTCAATTGATATTGGTTTGATACTGTCAACTGTGATTTCATTAACATCTTCAAGGACAAACCTCGAATCAGACGAAAAAGGTTATCAAAATCTTTTTGAAGAAGTATGTCACCTATTATTCAAAATCTTGATACATTGTCGAGAGATTCTCTACTCAACTATTCCAACCTATATCGTTATCATACAATCGATGTTTCATTGTTTCAAATCTTTTGAGAGTAAAAAACAAAAAGGTGAATCACAAAGTCGTCGATATGTAACAATATGGGATATACGCCTCAAGAATCCATTACCAATATCAAGTGCCAATTCATTTACAAGATTATTGACGATGATATCACAAAGAGATTCGTTAAACAAATTTCATAAAAAAAAGGCAATTTCAACACGACCGTTTATTAAACACATGCCGTGTTTAATAGCAGAATATTTAAAAGTACAAACTGAAGGATTTTTAGAACCAACAATTAAAGAAACTTTAAGACCAGGTGTGTATTCACTTTTGGACTTGTGTGATAAGCATGAAAGAGACATGATTATGGTTACTTTGGATCAGGCTGGGAAAAGCTTGTTCAAAACTTTGTGGACTGAATATAATAAAGATTGGAAATATGTAGGAAGGGGTTAATTTTACGTTCATTAAGGGTTGTACAAAATAGAAGTAGAAATTAATATTAAGAATGCTCGCTTTAATATATTTATTGTCCGGAGGACTTAATGGTGAAGTCATAGACCAGATTTTGTGTATGTTTATGTTCGCCAATCCGTCTATTTGTTAAACCCGGTTTTAACATATGAGTGCGTGAGAGTGAAAACCTGCAGCTGCATATAATGATTTACTATGATAAGTTTCAGACTTTCACTCTGACACACTCATATGAAAAATGACTCGGTTACAAACTCTAGCTTGTGCGTCATTGTTGTAAAGTCTATTGTAGTATGCATCAGAGATGCGTCATTAATTTTAGTATACGTACGTACTAGAATCACAAATTCCATATAAATAGAGTAAGCCAAATAATAATTCTTTTTCTTATGATAATAAGGTCAATAAAATAATATAAACCAGGTCGCTTGAGTAACTTGTCCCCCTGTTATTACTAAAACCTGTTACAAAGTATACAGTTGAATTAAAATTTAGTCAACAAAGTCTTCTTTTTCCTATCTTCTCTATTATAGGTGTTGATTAAATATCATTAACTTTTTAAATAGAAAAGATAAGTGACTGGGTCACTTACTGTGATAGTACCCCTTTTGACATCAAAAATAACTTTCAAATCTGTACAAAATAACAATTAAAATAGAGTTTATTAAATCATGATATCTCATAATCTAGTAATCCAATTTTAATGATTTCAGTACTATTTGAATTCTCTCCATAAGGTGATTTGAATGATACCAAAATCATCTTACTTTAATTGTTATTTATATAAATTTGAATATCATTTTGTATAAATTTAAATGTTATTTTATACAAAATTGAATATTACTTTGTATAAAATTAAAGGTAGAGTGTATATCGATCATTTATCATATGATTTTTGTGGTACAATGAGATTTCACATATAAAATTACAATATGCCACTAATAAAAGTTTTTAAAACCACTGTCAATTTTTACCAAAATTGAATAATGTATAGATTAAACCTTCTATTTATAGTAGTAAAATTTTCGTAGGTTGTATTATTTTAAAAAAAATATACTTCCTTATATAGTTAAATTTGTCGGGGGCTTTAAATTTGCCAGAGTTACACAAAAACAAATAGTAAAAATATTTCTAAATCAGGTAATTATCCAATTAGAGTTGTGTTTACTATGCAATCTATTATACAAAAAAGATTGATAATGCATATCTATAACTATATAATAAAAATATTTGTGTGTAATGATAACGTTTAGATTACTAATATAAATAATTCAATTAAATT